TTATGCGATTAACCGTCAGTTCCAGAGCACAGAAGAGCTGAACCGGGCGATTATCGAAGCATAGAGAGCAATCGATGAGGAACTCTTCGAAACTTAGTTTCTAGTATGCCACACAGGCACTTTGATATTGCTCTTAAACAAGGAGGAGCTATAGATTATTAAGTGGTGTGCATATGCCACCGACGTTAATAAATCATTTACTTTCTCAGGGTGACCTTATAATTATGAAACGGTGCAGAAGCCGACACTATCTTTAAAAAATTCGTAAAAAATCTGAGGTGAGGGATATTGCGACCAAAATTTGAGTACGGAGGTACATTGTGACAAGGAATCTTCCAGTGTTGCCGGAAAATTCCATTCCGGCTGCTTTCTCCAGAATCGCAAAAATCTGGGGAGACCTTATAATTATGAAACGCACTGTATGTACATATGTCTATACAATATTCTGAGGTAATAATCTAGTTGGGGACCTTCGCTTTTTTTTAAACATGAGCGCTAAATGGTATATAAGAAGGTTAGCCCATAATTGTGTTCAGAAACGTTTCTTATCTTAGCCGAGAACACACAGTTTTTTTACCTGAGCTTCAGGAGCACCGAGGTGGGTGAGTCGATTGGATATTCAACTCCACCCCTTCCTAGCTTTTTGCACGAGGTACATACTCATCTTTTCCCAGCCCCAACGCTCCTCACCTCTTGGGGCTCAGGTGAAACCTACTTTTTTCGCCTAGAGCAAACTCTCAACATTGGTAAGGTCGGCTACCCCTCCTCTGCACTCATGCCCTCAGGTCACCGTTGAATAAAAACGATATCCCCGTCTCTTAACTACACTTCCTAACTACTTTGTAAAAGTAAGGAATAAGGCCCAGCGTAAGCCGGGCTACCCGACTGATGTAGAATATGAGCTAACCATTTAGCAGCAACTCATCATGATGGAAATGCTCCTCTGAGTCGTTCCCCTGTATTCAAATAAACTATATTTTCCTGAAATCGTCGCCATGCATTGAAAGCTATAGTATATGAACTACATATGTATTTCGAAGCGAACATGTCGAATCATCAGTTCCGAACGCGATTTCCTCGATTTTTTTCGCAACCCGTGATTGTGCACTATGAGTTATTTTTCAGGCATTACAGGTTGGTGTTCAAAACTTTAATCTAAAGGATCATGGCAAAATCAGTCAGAAGGTCTCTGGTACGTTATGTCTGAAATTTTCGCCTCATGTCAGACGAGAAGGATTGATTTGAAAAGTGCCCAGTCAGTGGAGTACTAGATTGGTACTTCTATCCATAGCGATGCCATCGCGGATTCGAGTCCCTGATGGATCAAACATCAACCTTTAGTGGAGCTTATATTATGTTGAGTCATATGTCCTGGACAATGTGATAGTGATGACTTCTAGAGATCATAACTCAGGAAAGAGGTGACGAAAATGGACGCGCAAGGCATCGTTAGATAGAGTTTTAAAAGCTCTTCCAATTACATACTAACGAATACACTTGACCGTTCCCTGCGCTCGAGCGTGAGGAGAGAAAGAGCCATGTTGGCGCGGCAGTCCATGTCATACTGCTTCAAAGCATGAGGCACCCATCGACCGAGCTTTCGCCCTTTTCGATTGACTTCAATCCACGAATAATTGTGGACTGGCTCCCCAAGGGTGACTGCCAGTTTACGAACAGTTTGATACGGATAGGCTTCCACCTGGCTCCGCAGCAGGTCCAAATCTAACTCCATTGAACGTCCCAAACGGTCTTCATTTTCGATGGAATGGTCGTCTGACGTGAACTTCGTGTGCCACTTGTAAATTGTGCATCTAGCAGGAGCACCCTTCTTGTAAACTTCCTTGGTACGTCTATCGATCTCCGCGGGATCCTGGCCAGACAAAAAAAAGAAATAGGATGGTGTTGCGGAGGTGGAGTCGCGACGACTTGAAATCATGGGGCATGGTTACAGGATAGGAGATAGCTAGATGTGTTCATTGGTATGAATTTCAAAGAGCTTTCCATACTCTATCTAACTGTGCTAGGCGCTTCCATTTTCGTCTCCTCTAGAAGTCATCACTACCTTTTTGTCCGAAGACTTATGACTCTGGGGTTATGAGGCTTTACTCAGGTCATCTTTTTGTAATCATTTATCCAAACCACGGCCCTTGACCGATCGATCATCAGGGGCGGCAATCAAAGTCAACTTTTGCTAATTAGTTTTTCTATCCTTGAATGACTGCACATCGCAAACCGAGCGAACCATGAATGGGTGCGGTATGTTTCTCGAAAATCGCGTCGCACGCCGCAAAGGGTTGCGCGCATTCGCGCACTATGGAGGGGAAGATTAGAATCTTCAGTGGAAGGATACGGTGGCCACCGTGGAATCACGGGTAACGGAACTTCTCCCGGCGGCTACCCTATCCTTCCACTGAAAGTTCAAACCTTTTCCTTCATAGCGCCGCGATCGGGTGCGGCGAGTGCGACATCGTTTACGGGAAAAGATACCGGACCGTGGAACTTTACTGTTTGCCGTGGGAATCCGAGGAGAAATACCGTCAGCTCCCCTTATAACACTGTGAGAAGTTCCCTTTCTGGTCTTGTCGGTGACCCCTAGAAGTATAGACTTTCATTTTAATTTTTTCTGAAAATCTCCTTTCTCTAGATTGCTGTTTGTCAACTTACTTGTGGCCATGACTTGGAAAAAAATTTCGAAGTCTGTAAAGCTATGGTCGAAAGAGCCGGAGCTCGGAATTGCAAGGTAGAGGGACAATTCATAATGTCACCAGCTTGTTGTCATATGTAGTAAAGCGTTCAGATGGTATTCTTCCCAGAATGGTCCGACTACATTGGACGAAACGCTGAGGAGAACATCAGTTTAGCGACGGAAGAAAGCGGTTCTCTGATGCAGGGCTTCAGGTATTCAAGATAGTTGTACAGTACTCTGATTGCATTCAGTCATGTACTTATAGGTCCTTGGCCAAACAGCATCATGTTTGGATATCCTTCGGTGGGCTTCACAATAAGGTTCGCAGTTTGATTGTTACTTTCAAGTTGAGTATACCTGTCCTACACATGCACATACACACACATACACAATACGCACATCAGCTATCCCATTTTCCCTGAACTGGAAGGATCGGGAGTGAAAGTAGTCGCTGATCCTCCTCTCAAAATCTACAAGTTTTGTGAATTTTTCTTAGCTAGGAAGACCTTGAAGAGACGAGATTAGTGATAGCTAAAGTGTGCAGTGTCAGCGGAAAAGGAGGTTGAGGAGCACTATCCCACAACAGCTCCTCCAATTTTTATGGGTATCTTTGACTACATTGGGCCTAGCATTGTCGTGAAGTAGGTGGACGGAAACTCGCCCTGGGCGTTTTTCTCGAACGGCGTCTGCAAGTTTCTGGAGCTGAATGGTGCAAACTTTACCAACAGCATGTCGAATACCAGAAGCACCAGAGTAGCTCCTTCTCGGGAGCCATACGGCTCGGCGCGTGTTAGAATCGTACAGGACCCAACTCTCATCTACAGTTATCAAGCCTTCCATGAGATCTGACGACTTAGCCCTTGGCCAGAGGCTCTTGGCTACAAGAAAAGGCTAACTTGTTAGGTCCCTCACGTATGGGTGAGTGAAGACGGTGGGAGGGATACCCGAGCCTCGTCGCGAGATTGCAGGTGCTAACCTTGGGATCCTCTTTGACAGCGTTGAGAATGACCGAAAAGACGGTGATGCGACGACACCAACGGTGCTAACAATAAGCCGTGTCAGTGAGAATTTCACTATGAGACTTACATTGGACATTGTGTTCGAAATCGTGGTCACCGCCTTAATGAAATCATATTAAAAAGTAAACATTTGGAATGTTGATTTGCGTAAATTTGATTGCTTCATGTTCGAATTGTAATCTTCATTTATATCTTAAGATTTGTTCAGTATCCGACTAGAAACTGTTTCTGGGAGTTTTTTGGATACTTACACGAGAATCGTGCGGTTTGATTGCATCGCCTCACGGGTAAATCGGAGCCAGGTGTCGTCTATTTAGGTGACCATTCTGCAGAGCCTCTTGGGGATGTCACTTCATTTTTTTTCTAGGACCATTCGAGTTGTTTTTTCAAGGCAGTTAGAGGCCTTGTTTCTGAAGGTTCAGAGCCTGTGCTCTGAATGGAAATAGAAGGAAACAACACAGGCTCGTATATCCTACTTACTATAAAGCGCTTGGTCTGTCGTTCTGTCTGTCGTCTGTCTTTATGTATGTCTTTCACGAAATTCCTTAGCTTCTCTAGATCTGCCTGGAGAGACAAGGTTGAGCGTGGGATGGCTGGGCCATGCCCGAAAACACACATCACCTTGGAGAAGCCCCGCCCATAGTGGGCATGGCGTGCATCGAAATGAGCTGTACTGTGGACCATGATTTCAAATTCAGTCACAAGACGGCTTCGAAGCTGAGGTGTAAAGGTGGCTAGAGCTGTGCATTGGTAAGTTAGATCCAACTGGGGAGTCCCACCCTCGATGGGCGGGGCGTTCTCCAGAAATACATTTCTTTATGAAAACATTTTGGAAAATCATAACTCCTGTCTCTGCGGACCTAGAAAATTCAAAGTTGTAAGGAATATAGACGGCGGGATGAGAACACTCATGGTGGTAGCAGGACCGGACTCCGCCCACAGGGGCGGAAACTCATAAATCCTGTTCCTAGAGACCTTAAGCGCTCAAATTTGGTTGGAGTACAGGCGACAGGATGGGAACACTCGTGCTGGGTGGCAGAATCGGACTCCACCCACAAGGGACGGGTTCTGTGTGAATAACCTAAATTCAAGTGCGTTCAAGTTTGGTAGAAGTGCAGGCGGCACGATGGGAACACTTATGCTGGACGGCAGGACTGGACTCCGCGGAGTTAGAGTGGAAATTCATAGCTCCTGTCCCCGTGGGCCTCAAATTTGATGGGTGGTGCAGGCGTATACCATATCTGGCACTATCGGGTCGGAAAACGGTCTAGTTAGGGAGTTATAAAGGCTCAAAGAGTGATCTCGGACGAGTTTCACCGGCATTGTAGGGGCTGCACCGATCGCAAAGGAACCCATGTAGGAGGTTCAAACAACTTGTCATGATCCATAGCGACAGAGAAAGAGGGTTTTGTGCAGTTCTGGCTTGATGTAGCCAGCTCTTTGTGCAATTGCAATAACTGGAATCTCTCCGAATATTTCCGTCATGGCAATTTCGTCCAACCTCTACTTTCCCTACTTTTGAGGAACCATATTTTTCTCAAAATCGGCGAATTTTTTCGCGTTCTTCAATAGCGATGAAGTGTTCTCAATCTGTACTTTCGCTTTTCGAATGAAATCGGGTACCTCAAAATTATCGTGAACTAAGCCTTTAAGATGAAATATATTATGCAGGATCCTTCGAAACCCGAAAGGCCTTGGAACTCCCATGTGGTAATCGACGATGAGGGCAAGACAAGAGCCTTGTATAACAAGCTGCATCTTTTCGATGTGGAAATTCCAGGCAAATTCAGACATATGGAAAGTGATTTTCACAGGAAAGGAGTTAAGGTTAGTGTATGGTGAGGTCACAGATTTGTAGAAGTACTATCCACTTTCCCAATCCATGTTTAGCTTCATTCTTGATTATTTTCAGATGGTGCCACCTGTGGACACTCCAATTGGACGCCTTGGTCTATCAATTTGTAACGATCTTCGGTTTCCTGAATTATCTCTGTGGTATCGTTACAAGGGTGCAGAGATCCTCTCCTACCCTGCAGCATTTACGGTGCACACTGGTTTGGCTCATTACGAGGTGAGCATTTGTCATATTGTAAAATCTTCGCTCAGTAAAGTGTGGAACCACTTTGGTACACGTGCTGTCCCATCTGGTGATTAGTTAGGAAAGGAAACCAGGTACTCATCTTTGGCCCCTGGGTAACTTGCTAAGGATGCACGGGGAATGAATGCTACCTCCATTAATAGTGTCGTGTTTACTTGTCACTCGTCCCTATTGTTAGTATATTCGCCGTTTGCGCCTTCTCTATCCAAGGATGCTTATCCTCTTCCCTTGGTGTCCCTTTCATACCCACAAATACCGTTTGGTTGTTGTATTAGACGATTATAAAGTTAGTTTATTGAAATGGCCAAAGAATAACACGGTTTCTTTTTTTTTTGCGGTTCAATGTAACATTTATTATGGGACATATTTGTATTGTGACCCAGTTCACTTTTTGCAGCCACTACTTCGTAGTCGGGCAATCGAGACGCAGTGTTATGTGGTTTCAGCAGCTCAGACAGGAAAACACAACGAAGAACGGTCCTCCTACGGTCACGCCATGGTTATTGATCCTTGGGGAGCTGTGATAGCTCAGTGCTCTGATAGAGTCGGTTAGTACGACACGAAGAACACTAGAGATCCCTAACGTTATAAAAGCAGCTGGCTAATTAATACTAGCTCTTCCATGCTCTCTTCTCCCGTTTCCGATCTCAAAGTTAAGGGTTTTTGCAGTAAAACTACTGAGCAATATTCTGAAACACTGAGTCTCATTTTTCTACATTTCTCTTGCTACTGCACGAACTCCAATCCCAGAATGTTTACAGATGTGTCTAATATGACGTCGAGAAGTTTGCGCCAATTTGGGTTCACGTTCAGAAATGCAATTTTCGTGTGATTTGTGTTCAAAAGGCAAATAGAGCCTTTTGGATGCTACTTGATGGTTTTCAACCAGAATACCGAACATCAGTTTCGATGAGCATGAAATATTTGTCGACAGGCTCACAGATACCTTTCTCGCAAATATTTTCTTCAAGATATGTGCTTTGCCGAAATCGACCTTTCGTATGTGGCCGAACTTCGTGAACTGCAACCGATTTTTGCTCAGCGGCGTCCAGAGCTCTACACGTTACACGTGAACGAAGAAGATAACGGTATTGTTTTTCAGTTTTTCCGCAGCAAAGTCTTTTGGGAGCAACATTTCTTTCTGGATAAGCTTCTTGTGACAAATCATAGTCCCTCCATCAAGTTAAATGTTATAGTATTCAATTAGTTGTGAGCAAGAAGCCTAGAAATGAATGCGACCCAGCTGCAGGAATGTGGAAGATCCATCAGTCAGGTTCCGAGGTCAATCTACTTTTGCACCTGTCAGTGAAAGGAAGGTTTAGTTCAAACAGCCAAATCGATTATAAAGTAGAAAGAATAAACTTTTGTCATGGCTCACAAACTTCAGTAGTTCGTAGCGTTTTACTTTCAAGTGTTTATCAGATCATTCGTTATGATCAACGGTGATTGCATTATCAGGAATATTAACCTTTATCGAATGGGACCACTCCATTGCAAATTTCTTAAAGATTTCGTTATCGACAACATCGATGAAGAATACAACCGTTGTTGAATATAATGCGGAGAGCCTACAGGTAGCCTAGAAACACCTCTCGTCGAAATTTCTTGAGCTAATACGCTAGCGTGGAATCGCGCAACCTGCAGGAAATCTCCGACTAAGTTCGGAATTACGTGGGTGCAGAGAAGCAGTAAGAAGGATGGGCTGTGGGTCTGAAAATACACATATCCTCCACATGAGTCGTTCTCAACAAGATATGTAGAACACTGGATGAAGAACAGCCATGGGCCATCGATGTTCCACACTGTCACAAGACCAATTGAAGTATCGGTCAAGTACATGCTATGCTTATATCTTACGTTCATCGATTTAAAGAAAGGTTACTGATATTATATTGTCCACACAGAAGAGTTATCAAAGTTTCGAGCTAGCCACTGTGTACCTAATATATAAGGATGCTTCGTGAGCTGTACAACAACTTTGCAACCAACCAAGATGTCACAATTCCACAATGAAGTTAATAATCAGCGTAAAAAGTGTGCGGCCCTAACAGTTTAGAAGAAGGGACAGAGGCTTCATAAAGCTTAAAAAGAATCGTGAGTTTATCGCAGGGTGAATGTGGGATCTCCACGTTGACGTAGTCGAACATGCCAAATGACATCAGGTAAACCGCCGTTCTCCCCACAGTTGCCATAGAGCTGACCTTCTTCGACTGTATACCATACAGAAAGATGAAACATTAATTTAGAATGGCTGGTTAAACTCACATTCACTTGACGAGTTTTGACACTCACTGATAATCGTCATAGCTCTACCCGATTTACTCATAAAGAATTGTGTTAGGGTGTTGCGCCCGGCTACAGCTCCGTGTTAATGCAGTGGGTTTGTAAGTAGAGTCAAAATGCATCCATATTCTAGGCAGACCAGGCTATTTCATACTTTCTTTATGTACCTTTTTATCCAATTTTAGGCCTGCATTTTTTAGGCCGGCCATTGTTGCTATTCATACATTTCCATTTTTCCTAAGTTTTAGATTTATGTTGCGTTATACGGTGCACCTTGAAGATCAATGAAATTAACAATATCTATTTACAGATAACACTCCTTTAATGTTTTCCAAGTTTCCGATTGCTAGTGAATCGATATTCTACCGATCAGGTCTTTCGTTTGCATTCGTCAATCTGAAGCCTGTCTTGAATGGACGTCAGTAACGTAAAATGTCCATTTCAAATTTTGAATTATGTTTCAGTGCAATTCAGATCAGGTTTTTATATTACAGATGTATTAGTATGCCCAAAACGCATTTGCAATCATCTCACTGACCTCACCGATGCTGAGACCGCCGATTTATTCGTTGTTTCGAAGAAGGTTCAAAAGATGATAGAAAAGGTAGGCCTTTCTTATATCTTTTACAACTCGGGTCGCTCAAATGAAGCTGGACCCGCTTCCTTCCTGTCATGAAGAAGGAATGCACGACTGACCGTCCCGTTCCTTATTTCGAAACAAATGATTTACTTCTGACTATAAAATTTATGAAGGGATCTTCTCAACTGCGCTCTGAAACCACGAGTTAGACGCGGAGCCCGTACCCTTATCACCTACGCTTGCAAAATCCCCATCTGTTGCCCTTGATCGTAACAACCATCCATTGAAAAACTATCCCTTCCCTTTACTAGGTCTGCAGGTGCAATATTTTTCTAGAACTAAGCAGCTTGATTAATCAAGCCCATATGGTGCTTCGATTGGTAATTAAACAATCACAATGATAAATTCATATAGATAGCCATTATTATGGTGACGGATGCAATTCATTGACTGAGGTTTTCGGATTATTGATGATCGAGTAAGTTCTATGAGAACAGATGTCAGATTGAGAGATTAAGTGGGCCCCTTAGTGAGTCGCACAGTTTGGGGCGTAGCCACCGTAACCTGATAACAAGGAGTGAACCAAATTTCGTTCTGTTTTAATGGTGCTAACTTATATTGATTCTATCAATGCGATTATCATCATTTTCTGTGAATCTGCTCTATGTTCGTATCTTATCCTGTGAAACGTAGCAAAAGTCCAAGCTATATTGCATATACTGGAGGAGTTAGGAACAGAATCCTTTTAAGAATTCTAATCAGCATTATCGACAATTATCATTTTCGTAGACCGTTATCTGCTATCTAATCACAGCCTATATCACACGCACTGAAGTAGCAGCGCTCAGCCAAACCAAAGAATTAGATGATCTGATGATAATCATCAGCCATTATCAGTTGTTATCAGTTCTTGCCACCAAGTACCAACAGTGCCCCCGCACCTCATTGATCCATCAGTTCCATGATCCCACAAACGACGTTGCAGGCTCAGTGATTCTTGCCTTTTACATATAGTCACTTATTGGTCCTGCTAACTTGTTATCAGTCTTTGTCACAAACTATCCACAATCTCCGCACAACCACATCACCCGCCATGGGTCCAAAATTCCACTGTCACCCCGAAGGTCATTACATCCTATGCATCTTGTCCTCCCTTTTTCCTAATTAGTTCTATCCACTTGCTATCAGCCATCAACCATTTGCGTCCCTTCACCCATTTCATCTATTTAAGTGCCAGGGTTTCACTGTTAATAGGAGGGGCGTTAGGGATCCTGTGGCTCTTACCTTCGGGGGCACATTATCGCTCCCCACCGATTGTTATCACTTCCTACCACATATCATCAGTATTCCCATGAAGGTGGTTTAAAGCTCTTGATATGTGCGTATGTCTACCGAGCAGTCTACCTTTCCCAAAAACTGGATCGCAGAAGATTTTAACGGAATGACCATCGTTTGCAGCTGCACCACCTTTGACGTCTCATTCGAAAATTAAACGGCAAGGGTCGAATGAGGATAGTCGTCAGATTCGAGATGTAGATATTTTAGCATTTTAAGATGAAAGTGATTCCGAAGCCCTCAAAAAATGAGGGATGTTGCAGCCGGTTAAGGTTTCACCTTAAGTACATCAGAATCGGCGCGAACGCTTTTACCTCAGATTTTCCGCTTGGAGTTTGTGTTAGGGTGCCCCATTTTTCATTAATGTAGGCTGTTCATTAAAGCAGGAGGCTGCATATTTATAAATAGTCTGATGTATTTATAACAACGAATTACAGTTCCACAACGTCACCTCATCAACGGTTTGCATTCAAGACGGAAAAGAGGCTGGGCAGACTGTCGAGGTTTGATATTTTACTTTATTCTGCTTTACTACGGAAAGGGAGTATTGGTTTCAAAACCTCTATGGTCGTGAATTGCTTTTTCCGTGATTTTGTTGAATCTAGTATGCAAATGTTGACGGGCTTGTATCACAGGATCTCACCTACCCCTAGATAAAGGTCATCTCATAATGGCCCACTAACCAATTCAAAAGCAAGGCCCAATGCCGCTTTTGGGGAGACGGAGAAATCTCAGCTCTGATCAAAGGCACAGTTCACGATAAATATGCATTCTGAAATTTCCCCTGGGAATAACCGTGCAAACCCTGAGGATAGTATAAATACCGCTATCGGGTGGAAAACGGTCTACACAGTGCGTAATATGGGCCCGGAATCCGGCGTAGCTGACGAGCACACCCAAAAGCGGACAAGTTGTTACAGCGTTGTAGAAGCTGTAAGGTTGCACCATTACCACCAGGACGTAGGCCATGGATTCAGGCAGCTTGCTATAGCAACTGTATACATTGACACTCACATTTGGATAGCTCGTTCAAATACCCAGTCCATGCAGTTGTAATCGTAACGTTCTCGTTCATCCAATAATTTTACCATTTTTTGAAGCTTTATATTTCTTTTGATACCCGATTTTTGCGTTTCTTCCCCACTTTTGCACTATCCTGTGTTATCACTTCCATTTTTCGTCTAACACTGGATATCCCAAAAATCACCGTGCTTTAAAGGCACGGTTCACGATAACTTTGGGCATTCCAGATTATGACGAGAAAACGAAGAGCAGATGGGAAATAATGCGATGAAGGCGAAGGAACTGCATGATTCGGTGTTTCCAAAGTGAAAAAAAGGCTTTAGAAAATAGTTAATTAGGGGCTGGACGAGAATGAGACCAGAGAAATGGGCCGGACAAGCTATACAGTGTGTTTCATTTCGTACGTGTGGATCCTGATATGGATAGCTAAGCAAAAATCCATTCACTCATGAGCATAAGATAGCAAGAAAATCCCTGCTAACGGCAAAATCGCCCACCTTTGTTAGCCTCTTGTGGTAGAAAATTAGAATAAGGATCGCAGCAGCAAAAAGAACAACAGAAATTCAAAGAATGGAAGGAAAACATCGCCTCATCACTCAGCGATCAGCTGATTGTGTGTGGGTCCTTGAACGAATATTGCAATCTCTATCGCCTCGACACTCGTCTGACGTGACATCGATCGGGAAGCGCGGGTGATCCGGTAACGGGGCACCTACTAGGCCCTAGCTGTTGGGATTTGGGACTCGACAGCATCCTTTCTGTTACCCTTAGAAGCCACTGGGAATTCCTGGTTGGGGAACTCAAGAACTATTTTTATCATGAACTGTGCCTTTAAGCAAACATTAGCACTAGTGTTAGTTTAATGGGCGGCTCGGGTAATCTCAGGAAATGCACACAGTGAGTGTCCAGAACATGGGGTCATCTCAAGGGTTGAGGAGTTGTTGAGTGAAAAGCATGTCTTGTTGTGTGGCTTAAATGAATTCTTATGCTTTCTGAAATCCGTTTCTGAGCTTCTCGCATTCTCCTATTCTTGCTAATGTTCTGTGAAAGATTCTCCCCCACGTTCATTACCAGCCTACATGCATCTGTTAATGAAAATGTCCTTCTGCTGAGCATGAAAGGTGTGAAACGACAGCTTTCCATGACTGAGCATGAGCAGTATTGAGCGAGTACTTTTTTCCCAACTGTAACGTATTTGAATAAGCATCTCGTGAAAGGTGGAAAAGCAAAGTCATCGAGAAGCACATCACACTAATTAAAATGGTCCCCGGATATTGAGGTGTACAGCAGCTCTGCTTCCCATTAGCTTGTTCGCTTTATCACCCTCGTCCGAGATAGATTGTTTTGATAGCTTTCGAGAATAATTACTAACGCTATTAGTTCCTGAGCAAAGTGCCCAGCAGCAGGCCATTAGATAAAAATTATGGCCAAAGTTGATAGACTTGGAAGGAGAGGCTCACAGTCTTCAAAAAAAAAGTACGGAGAACGCTACGCGCCAATCCTTGCCATCTTACGAGAGCTAGGTCACCCGATAGCAATGGTCGGCCCTAAGCAGTCTTCATAAATCTTCACCTTTGAATCAGTCTCCATCGTTAAACGGCTCAGCCATCAAACGGTCACAAGTAGGGCGACTTATTTTCGGCGGGATGATAGCTCAACGAGAATAAGGGCGTTTAGAAACCTTAAGAAAGCCCAACTTTTCAAGGGAGACATCATTCTAGCGCTCAGAATCGAGATGAAATTGCAAGGGTTCATTTGCTCATCGACTCAAAAATCACTATGTTCAGTAAAAACTAATTGAGCTGAGGTTTGCAGCACGTCCATGTCCACATACTTGCACGACGAGAAGGCGATTTTGGATGCTCTCCTGACAACCTATACCATACTTTATCTGCTCATGACAGGTACATTGCATGCTTCACACTTGGCTACTCATTATCGCATTAAAGCGGTACTCGACCTTTCGGAGAGCCTAAAAATGATAAATCATCTGAAGCAAACGATCATTTTTTTCTGTTGGTCGAATGTGAAAGAAAAGGAGAGCAGAAATTATGAGATAGACCGATATTGATTAGGGTTCGGGAGATTAAAGTCTTGGGGCATCAATCGATCCCTTCTTCAGGATGTGCTCCCACTTCTGACTTCCACTCAGAATCGTAGGGGCGTCTTGAATTTGGGTATTGCCTATGCAAAGACTTGTGGTTTCCAGCTGATGTACAAGAACTTCTAAGCGCCTGATACCTCGAAGGGATGGGAGATTTGGTTGAGTGCGTAGTACCTCGCGATATTGCCATTGATATCACACTCTTCTAGAAAAGGTTCTGTCCTCCTGTCCACCTTACACGACGGGAAATTCTAGTCACTGTCCCAAAGTTCTCTAACGGATTCCATCTTCATGCGCAGATGAGTGATATAGAATTATCAAGAGAAGGGTGGACCCTACTACCTGGCCTTTTTTTGATATCGAAAAGCTTTCGATCGCCTCCAGCGACCAGTCCTGGGGGAGCGCCATGAGAGCGGAACGTTACGGGACACCTGATCTCCCTGCTCAAAGAAATATACGATAGGTCTAGGGCGTTCATAAGCAACCCTCGTCGCTAAACAAAGCAATAGACGGTTTGGGTGCCTTTCAAAAATGATCAGCTTTGGACCCGTCTCGCTTACGATACGTGTCATCACAAAAGAACTTATGGAAACCCACTGTGACCATCCTCTACATTGGTGACATCACTTCGGCAGCTCCGAGGAGTGTATGAACTGAATCGTAAGCGGTTTTGTGAGGGCCATCGAAAAGCTACAGACCTTTCGTACCTGGAAAATGGGTAATGTAAGGGCTCAAGTGAGTTGATAAATTTGAGGGAGTTCACTGAATATTGTGCAACCGACGGTGCTCCACGATGCTTAAAGGAAGGGTCAATGGACAGTGATGAGAACCACGATGCTCCACGGCAGGGAGCGCTTCTTTCACCCTCCCAGAAGAGTCTGGTACCAATCAACCGACCCCGGAGGGATGAAGGGCTTTGTTGGCTTTACGGCTATCATCCGCGCTTTGAATCGATGTCCAAGCGTGTGTGTTAGTTCGCCACTTACCGCTACATCACCTCCGCCTTTGTACCACAATGTGATTTATGAATAATTTTGACGATCATGCATCAGTAAGCCATCTATATGACTATAATTAACAAAAGAAATTTCAGAGTCTAAAGTTCTGATTCGTACGAAAGCTTAACAACCCGAATCGGACGTTTGCGATTGAGAAGATGCGGTTCAATCCCAGCTCTAACCATCTTCGTTGCTTACGCACCAACATCGAGCTACGAAGAAGAGGAGTTGGAAGCGTTTTATATGGATCTAGAGAGGCTCTACAGAGAAGACCACACTTTCTTCAAGGTCATCGTCGGTGATTTTAACGCCAAGATCGGCCCCAGAAGAACGGCTGAAGAGCTTCACATCGGGACTCACGGAGTGGAATGGAATGAGCAGGGTGAAAGGCTGTCCGAGTTTATCATGACGACCCACACCATCCATGGTAACTCGCAGTTCCAGAAGCCCTCTCATTTAAGATGGACATGGGAATCACCTGGTGGACAGTTCCATAATGAAATAGACCACATCATCTTCAATCGGAGATTTTGCCTGACCGACGTCGCTGTTGTTCCGAAGTTCTACACGGGATCAGACCATCGACTCCTCCGCGCTAGATTCTGCTTCTCAGTGCGTGGGGAGAGAGCTATGAAGTTTCGGAAACGAAGCCCCAAGACCTCCATCAACTGGGATCACTTCGCTTCCCTTGCGAGTAAATGGGAGGATTCCGTTATCGACAACATCGACGAGGAATACAACCGGCTCGTCGAGCATCTTCACGATAGTGCTACGAAAGCAGAGAGTCTACAAGTAGCCAAGAGACGACTCTCTTCGAAGACTCTCGAGCTGATACGCCAGCGTGGAATTGCGCGAGCTACAGGCAATTATCAACAAACGTCCGAACTTGCGAAGCTATGCAGAGAAGCGATAAAAGAAGATCTGAAAGAGAGAAGAGCAGCAGTCATGGACGAAGCCGCCGAGGCCGGAAAGAGCATTCGCAAAGCCCGACGGAGCTTCGCCAATTACAAGACCAAGATGACCTCCCTTCGTCGTCCTGACGGAACCATTACTGCTTCCCGGAGGGCAATGGAGAAGGTCATCTACGACTTCTACTCGGATCTCTTCGACAGCCACGTCTACCTGCCTNTGTCCCTGAAGCGAGAACGGTTCACTGGACCACTTTGGCTCGTGACAGGGACGAATGGAGACGTTACTGGCGCCCGCTCGAGGATTTCGATGATCAACGGGACGACAGGTGATACAGGTGA